CTCTAGTCCTGCTCCGATTTTCCTTTGGTCAAATATTTTTAATTTAAGTGTAAAAAACGGTGTAAAATAATTTTCTTTTATTCAGAAGAAGAGCAGTCGTGCACTGCTAGGGTTTTTTTTCCCTCCAGCTCCCATAATGCCTTTCTTCTCTTTCCTGCAGGCCACGGTCCAATCATTRTCACCCCAGGCGTGGCCACCATTCGCCGCACCCCTTCGTCCAAACCTTCGGCCCGCCGCTCAGGCTCCGTGGGTGCCGGTCCCATTCCCATTCGTACCCCCGTGGTGCCCGTGAAACCCCCCGTGGTGCCCGACGTGTCGGCAGCTCTGAACGGGGTCAGGAGTGCCGAGGAGGTGGGGGGCGGGGAGTTCAGCTCAGCTCCCCCGACGTTTTCAGGACACGAGGACGTTGGTATGATTCCCGTGGCGTCCTGGAGCGGCCAAGCCTCCACCAACCCACCCACCGTCCCCCTGCCCGACCAGCTGACCCAACAGCACCAGCAGGGAGGAGGAGGAGGAGGAGACGAGGAAGAAAACATGCTGGTGGCCATCCGTAAGGGAGTGAAACTCAAGAGAACCCTCACCAACGATCGCTCCGCACCACTCATCGCGTGATGACATCATCCGACAGGCAGGGGGCGGGGTCACAAGAAGCATGTGACCTCTTATTATGGAGGCGGGGCTYGTTCTGCCAAGTGTTTGTCAATTTGATCAAAAGCTTTGGGGAAAAAAGTTTGTTCCATTTGAGTGCAATTCAAAAATACACATTTTTTTGTTCATCAGGGAAATCTGCTGTATTTAGTCTACATGTAACATGTCCATCCTGTGAGAAGCTGACGACAACAAAAACAACAAACAGCTGCACATTTCTAATGTAGAAACTGGATCAGTGATAAGAGGCTCTGAGGCCCCCTTGTGGTGGTTTTTAAATGAGACCCTCAGACTAAAGCTGTTCTGCAGGCCCACAGCGTATGGAGGCAGTTCAGAATGTGTTCTTGTAAATGTAAAGAATTCTACAGCAGCGTCAACACTAACACATGTAACACATGCAGGTTTATTTCAGAAGAAACCAAAAAAAAAACAAAAAAAAAAACCACACCGTATCTCTGACCAGGTTGGACAATGTGTTCTTTCTCCTGAGTAAAGTAACCACTGCGTCTTCTCTCAGTGGATTTGGACTTTATTGGAGCGTCTTGTTCAAGTTAGCACTCGGTGGCAGAAACCACTCTGAGCACCGACAAGGATATTCAGGTATTATAAGAGCCGCTGAGACCGTCGGCTGGCTTTTTAAAACACACCTTTTGGGAATGTTTGAACCGTACAGACTTCTGTTCTGGCTAGAGGAAGACGTGACACGGACAAAAGTCCGGTTCGGATCAGTCTCACAGAGCCAGCGTGGACCTGGACAATGACCAACAGAGAGCTCCTACAGGTGGAAGGAGCCCAGTTTCCTWTGTTTGAGTAGCTGGAGCCTACAGTAAAATAAGAGGTACRCTCAKTAGTTTTGGTATTTAGGTAATTTGTAAATAATTTTGCACATCTCAGCTTGAGGAGTGTGTTGGTGCTTTCTGATTCTTCACACGTTTGCTGCTTTTCCTCAACCGACTCTTTCAGAGAACCAAATTTAGTTTCACCTCTTTAAACAKGTTTAAATGATCCTTACGTGACTCTACACTGACGTGGTTTGGTTTAGTCCTCCACTCTTTCCTTTCCTGTGAAACACGTTTATTCTGCTGATCTAAATGTTGAGCTTTGTGGACCCTTAGTGGGACTTTCTTACATTTAACTATTTACAACCTGCTGATTTCTTTTTCTTTCTTTATAGTATAACTAAGACTAAACGTGCCGCATTAAAACACAAGTAGTTGAAGTTTTTATGTATAAATATGTTATTAAACTTTTATAGAAGATAATGAGAAACTATTTTTTGATGTTGTAAAAGTTACCAGTTCAAAGTTGACACTTAGTTTTTTGTTTTGTTTGTTTTTTAACTTGTGTTTTTGTGATCACATGCAACTTTTCTGTAACGCCACTGAAGGTCCAGATAGTTACCCTAAAAACCGGGAAATCCCATCTAAACTACAACGGAATATTAGGGCCACACTACGATAATGATTTATATATATTAATTACAAGAGCAAAGATTTAATATTACGAGAATAAATTCATGATATAAAAACTCAGTCTTACCACTGCATTAAAATGAGGAATGTTGAGCATCTTATAAAGTTATACTTTGGTATCGGCTTTACARATAAAGAAATAGTTCATCTTTTAATACACAGGCATCAAATTATTATCAGTAGCAGGACTTTAAAACAATTRTTTAAATGTTGTGTGGCCTTAATACACCGTTGTACAAAACCCTTAAAAAACWACAACATTCTAGGTAAATTTCAGTTTATTTTTTATTTTAATTTGAACAGTGTTAGTATTTTTGGGATGTGAGATCGGTCCAGAGGCAGCAGCGTTCGACTATAAGCTACAATAAATCACTGAGTCATCGTCTCTTCTTGTGATTTGCGTTTCAGTTGGAGCACTGTGRGACCGTGGCTACTACGTGTTGTATGAAAGTGTAAATATTAACTAACTGCTAAATAACTTAGTCTGGGAACTCACGTTTTCTAATTTATTTTCTTTTCTGTGWTTTAATATCTGTCTCAGCCTTTCTCTATTTTTTTACTTCTAAGAATAAGAGAGTTTATCTGTTCTCATACGAGTAGCTGAAGTTCCTCATTTCACACAGACACTATTATCCTCAGTGAAGTTCAGTATTATCAGTACAGGTTTTATACAAAACTACATTTTTCTTCTGAAAGCGTAAAAATATCTTGACTGCTTTGTGTTTGTACACATATTTTTGGGCTGACTGAAGGAGAGTAARCTATAAAAATCACATTTGTTTGAACAGTTTCCTGAATCTGAGGGTATCTTAATCTGTTTATTTTTCCATCCGCACGTCGAAAACATACTCTCACCCTATAGTGCCCACATGTAAATCTTAAATACATATATATACGTATATAAATATATTAGATTATATTCCTAAATSTCAGTATGTTGTATGAATAAGAATCTTTTAGTTTGTGATGTTTCAAACAGTTAATCTTGTTTTCTAGTTTAGTTMATTTTTCCCCCAGAAGAGAGTTGACCTCTCTGTCAGTTCTTGTATCGTAAATTTGTTTCACAAGACAAAATTTTCTTTGTCACCACAGCTTTATTAATTCAATAAAAAGAATATTCAATTTGCCTTGATTTGCTGTTTTGTTTTTTCCTTTATTTTTATTTATTTTTTCTTTAGGTTTAGGTTTTTGCTTATGTAGACCACACCCTTTATATAAGGTGTGATGTGAAAAAGGCATTCCTCAACAGAGAAAACTCTAAAGCTGTGGAGGATGGAGGAACATTTACACACACTGCCTGGTATTACTGACAGACAGATAATGGAGGTGAAAGGGTAGAATAGGGGTGCTAGGATTTGACACATGGAAAATAAAAAGTAATTTCATAATCCATTTTGTGTTTTTATATATATATGTAAAGGTCCAAAGTTAATATCAAGTCAAATTCTTTTTAGTAGTAAYTCTGTACATTTTGTCTCCAAGTAACCTCTACAAAGTAAACAGGCTGTAGTTTATACAGTACTTTGATTCTATTGTTTCTTTATACAATCAATAAAACATACAACCTCTTTTATTCTAAAACGTTTGAATATAAAAAATAAATATGACCTTACTGGTTTAAGAAAAAATACGACTATTWAGTTTGAAATGGGTGCTAAAATTATTTACATCAGTTCATGTGGATTTCAGTGCCATGAACAAAGGTTGTGCCTCATTATAGCCACAAGGGGGCGCTCTTATCCAAGCATATTGAATGAAAGACGTGGTGCGTTTAAGACTTCAGGTCTGGTTGAAAAATTCAAATGCTCCACATGCAAAAATGAACTAAGTAAACAATAAACAAAACATCTAATACAATCTAACTACTTGTGCAAATTTTGTGTTATATTAACCATTTCTATCATAACGTTCAGCTCATTCTGCAGAGATTGGACTTCTAACTTTTGTACTTTTCAAAATATTTTTACTTTATTAAATATTATTCTTACAGAAA